TTATTCTTGGTTTGGACAATTAGTCAATTTCAGAAGTCTCTCTTCAAATAATGAAAACTTTTCATTCATTTTCTTCCCTTTAAATTCATTCAGGATGTTAAACAATACTCTTCTGGTAAATTGCTTGACAGTTCCCGAACAATCTGTGAAATAAAAATAAAAAAATATTTACTTGAAATAGTACAAACTTTTCACTTAATTTTGAAGTATTGAAAATAGAGGTAAAAAATTGAAATATTTGTTTTGGTGGACTTTGAAACAATTTTTTTTAGACAAGTCGTTCTTATTTAATGAGCCCCACTTTTTTGTTATATAAGATTTGAGTCCTAATTATTTTCTAGTTTTTGGCACAACTAATGATTTAAAATAAAACCATTTAACTTAAAAGTTTTTTTACCACTATTTTTATTTTCTAGTTTTAGTTTGATTTTTGGCTCGTATCATTATTATTTTTTAAAGTTTGAGAAAAATTGGTTCATAAATATAGGGTAGCCCACTATTTTGGATACGCCATGTTGATTTTTTAAGTTTGAATCAAAAACCATAACATCCCCAAATTCCAAATTTGATACATATCGGTTCATACAGGGGAAAGTCCGCTATTTTGGATGCGCCTTTTTTATTTTTTTTACGTTTGAATCAAAAATAGTACTAAGTGACCTTAAACACTGCAAAGTTTCAAGTTTGAGACAAATCGGTTTATAAATAAGAAAGTCCGCCATTTTGAATGTTTTTGCAAACAACATTTACTCAGTAATCTAATAACAGGATAAGGTACGTACCAGTTTCAACTCTAAGTAAGTGAATTTTTGTTTATTTTAAATTAATTTAACACCGATAATTTCATTTATCTGTCAAAATGAAGATATAAACAATAAAATGACAAGTTTTAATTTAGCACTAGTGATGCGTGCACTCGTGTTTTTCTTTTCAAGTTAAAATGCATTCGAGAATATATTTTTAAAAAATAATTGTGTAATGCACTCGTATTAAACTGAAAACATCTTTCCTAATTTGCTAATTAATTAAATTATTTGAACTTACCTAAAAAGTATAAATGCGCCCGACTATAATAATAGCAGTATGGAAAATTCAGGAGTCAGCCCCAGAAAATTTAAACAGCAAATAACTTCCGAATTACGAGATTTGTAACGAATGAACTAACACAAAGCAACATGCAAATAACAACTCAGACCACTCGAGACGGGGAATTACAGAGTTGGCCCAGACGGGGAATTACAGAATTCTCCGACGATTGCGAACAGCAAGCACGAGCATTGTTGCCGATACCTTCAATCGAAAAGTTATTTTTTTTATCGATTGGTTAATCCATATTTCGAATAAATTATTATGTTTAGATCGCGTATTTGCGTATTTGCTAAAAAAATCACCAGAGTTTGTAGTTTTATTAAAAGTTTTTCACCAATCACCAAAAAGGTTCCAAAATCACCAGATCTGGTGAAATTTCACTAGACCTGGCAACGCTGCTTCCGAGAACAAGTAGAGCGCTAGGGGATTGTTGATGTTGATAGCTGCCATTTGACGGGGCGGTTACCTGACTAGAAAAACAATAGATTCAATGAGACTTTCGAGTAACTTACTGATTCCGACTTTTGTGCGGTTTTATTAACCAAATACTCCAATAAGTACAAACGAAATACTCTTGATTTACTTTTTTAGAGGATTTTACAGGAAACAAAATGTTCTTTTTGTTTTTAAGATGGAAGTAGCCTTGTTTGCGTAACGCTGCAACACAAGCTATACGTTCTTTGCTTTTTAGTTTGAGACTTACTAAATATTTTAAATCTTTATTATTTTTATGATGCCTAAGAAGATGCCTACTAAAATGTGTATTTACGTCATTATAACAAATTGGGCATATTGTGGGCCGCTCTCTAGCAGAAATTGATTTGGTATATTTTTCTTTAATCTAAAAATAATTATTTGTTTAACTAGGCAGTAAATCTGTTTCTCTGCCGTGTGAAACATAATTTTGTCTCCGATTATTTATACATAGTGTTTAAAAAAATTAAAACCTCTTTTAAGTATAACGTATATAATTCACGTATTTTTGTTATTATTTATTCTAATCGTATTTTATGATTTTTAATCAAATATAGAGAATAAAATTAAAAAATAAATCATTAAAAAAAAAAATGAAAAGAGAAATTAAAAAAATAAAAATTAAAAAAATTCCCTTGACCCCCCAAGCATGGCTTCAAAACAAAGGTTTTATTGTCTAGGCAGTAAAAATGATTTTTAATGCCTAGGCATTAAAAGTGTTATTTTAATGATCGATAAATGTCACTAAAAGTGAGATTTAATGCCGATCAGAGAATTTTTTTTATTAACACAAAATCATAACTACTTTAATATGTTTAAGGTGTCCGCATTTTTTATTTAGTCCCATTAAATCGAAAAAATCAAAATCGTAACATCAAAAATTTTCTATCGTTTGATAATAATAAAAAAAACTTACTGATAAAATATCTTGTACATTTTTCGTATAAAAAGATCCTGCATTCCTTGACGGGATCAAATTTGTCGAATTATCAGAAACTTCCAGTATCCTCTCAGCACTTAAATTATTTAAGTATTGAACAACTTTTGAAGTAGGCGGTTCACTTTCTAAATGCTCCGGCTGTAACTTTTAAAATAACTAACTGTTTAAAATAATCGAAAAATTTGCTTAGGTATATTTTAAAATACCTACTATAATTTTCTGCATTTAATTTAATAATAATTGTTAAAATTTAAATATTTGATCCCTGCAATTGTGTACAAACAACCACGTTACTTAAATTGTCTACAGTATGTACTTTGATATTTGTACTTACAGTCAATGTAATAATGGAAGAGTCTTTCCTTGTAACTGAACACTCCCCAAACTTAGCACTAGTAGTGCTTGGAATATAATCTTCATCTGAATCTCTTAGGCCGCCAAGCAAGTTTGTCTTTAAAAATAAATATTTTAAGATTTTTAAAGAAAATAGTAAATAAAATGATATTCAAATGTTATTATTTATACTCCAAAATATATATAATATTAATAATAACAACAATAAAAAATATACAGAGTGGTTCTTGGGCAATTGTACGTAAAATATATTGATTTAAAACCAGCTACAAAATATTTGGATTGAAGCCAATTTGCCATAAAAATTAAAAAAAAATTATTCGTTTTTTGGCAATTACTCCACCAAATCTTTATAAATGTTCACCAAATATGCCAGAAAGATATTCTAAACATTATTCCTATGTACTTGTTTAAATTCGACAATTTAAACCCTTTGTAAGAAAAACGCCATTAGTTCAAAGTCTCAAAAATACTTCAAAATGAATAAAACTAGAAAAGTATTTTTTAACTAATAATATACCAAAGAATAATTGGAGAATCTTTTGTTTAGAATATGAAGATTTACCGTATATATTAAGAAAAAAATCTGATGTGTCCAACACATGACTTTCCTATCTAGTTAGGATCGTTTTTAGGATGGCCAATGATGACAAAAATGAAATAAAAATTCAAGGTCCGTGTTTAAAAAAATGAAGTTGATGACATCTTGGAAACGAAACGTCGTATTTAAAATATATATGTACACCATGTTGTAGAGCTAAAAAAACTATAGAAGTTTCACATTTAAACCGCATTTCTAAAATCAATAGATCTTGAGTTTTAAAAGGCTTGTTAATTCAATATCTTACCACTGAATCTTTAGTTTCATTAGGTAGATAAATTCCTTTTAAAAACCTATGCATAAATTCGTAGGCGAACCACTATGGTGTCATCACTTCATCGGTGCCACTTCCCGTTTTTGATGTTGCTTTTACTTTTTGTAAAAGTTTCCGAAAGGTTCCCATTAATGTTTCTTTCTTATTCAATTCTGCGATTGAATATTTTACACTCATTTGCTCTTCAATTCGCCACCAGGCATCATGAACTAAGTTCCCATTTTTATGGTTTGGATCCCGTGGATTCCAAATAATCGGCTCGGCTTCATAGAATGATAAAAATCACCACTTCGTTTAATCACTCCATGGTGAAATTTACCATGTCACTGACAGTACCACGCTCCTAGCCGCCCCGTTGGAACTGTAAGCACGTGTTGCGCGCCAACGTTCGCGCCCCTTTGAACGGAGCGGAAACTGGCAAGTTTGGCGCGTGGAGTGCCACTCCATGCGCCGTTGGATCCCGGCTTTACTTACATCAGGAATGAGCCTGTCATATCTACTAGTTTTATTTAAAGAGCCAATAATAATATATAATAACCAATTATTATATTTAACTATTTAATTTATATTTTAAATTTAATTTCCAATTTGACTCTATTATTAAGAATATTCATCTGTTATAGATGAGATTTCATGGTTTAGAGGAATCTATGTACCTTTGACCTTGTAAGTTTTATTCTCTAAAATAAAAATAAGATGTAGGTTATTTTAACCGTTACATATTATCCTCCAACAAAAAGAAAAATGGAAATGAAATGTTAATTTTTGGTTAGCTCAGAACGCCTAAAATGCCTATTATTACTAATAATACTAAAATAAGTTAAATAGTTTTGTTAGTGTGTACCCTTACTACGACCTAACTTAACCCTTAACTTGGCAAACATTAGGAATGTGCACGAGCTTGATCGAGCAGGCTCGGTTCTTGCTTGTATTGTTTGAGCACGCTCGAGCGGAGCTCCGAACAGTACGACCAGTCCGATACTCGAGCGGCTCCTGTATCATATTCGGCTCGAGCGCCTCGTGTATCGGCTAGGCTCGAGCATCGAACGATCCGAGTGTTCCGTACTCCGAATCATTCGAACTCTCGGTAATGAACTTATCATCGGCAATAAACTGACTTTTTAAAACTGTAACCCCGCTCGGTTTTGCAAAAAATAGAAACTAACAAATTTGTCTTTTTTAATGTTTCACTGTAAACCTAAACTAAGCAGATACGGCATGGACTTTTTTGAAGGGAAAGAAATTTACTACTATAAATTATATAATATTTATACTGCATTTTTATTAAGAAATGCAATTTGTTCAACATTACTGGACAGTAGTCGTGCCCTATCGGAAGTAACGATGTTTCCAGCGATTGAAAACAGACGCTCGCTACTTGTTTGTGAGGCTGGAACATTTAAGTATTGCCGAGCTATGAGTGCTAGCACTGGAAACCGGTGATGATTTTTGCTCCACCATTTTAATGCTGCAATATTTCTTGGAACCACTTTCTCGGCTATATAATTCGCTAGCTCACGATCGGCATCTGGGCGCTCTTCTTCAGCAGTTCCTAGGGCTTCGTCAAGCAGCTTTTGCAATTTGGACTCATCTGAAAAGATAGTTAATGGGAAACAATTTTAAACAAAAAAAGTGTAACAAAGAATCATATGGTGATCCGAATATTAATTATATATAATTATACGCATCATACCTATCGGTGCCCGTCGATAAGGTGACGTAGTAGGAATCTTTGAACTACTATCCAGAGCTGAAAAAGATTCTAGAAACGCTTTGCTTCTTAGCCTTTCCAAAATGTCCTCCTTCTTTTCTCTAGTGATGATTAGTCTATCTTTATAATGCGGATTCAGAATCATCGCGAAAACGATGGCATCGTGATCCGCGTCCACGAAAAAAATAATTTCTCCAACGAACTTGAGAGAAGAGTGGCTAGTTCGTTTTCGTCTTTATCCTCACTCTCTGTTGCATTTGCTGCTTCGTCAATTTCCTCGTCAACGGCCTTCATACGTAAGTAAATAATTTTCATTTATTTGAATGAAAAAAATCCTATATACTTACTGTAAACGTAAATGAAGTCAAAAACTTATTCTTATCACACTTATATTACGGGGACCGAAACACATTAATCACTTTTCACCACTAAATTTAATGTTGAATTATTCATTCAGAGTACGGAACGCTCGGATCATTCGAGACTCGAGCCGTACCGGTACGCGATGCGCGGAAAGCTCGTTTTGTTCGGAGCTCCGCTGTAGCGTGCTTGAGCTGCAATTTTTCGAGCTGATCGCGAGCGCTCGAACTTTACAAGCTCATGCACATCCCTAGCAAACATACGTTCAGTACAAAAACAAAAAATGTATTTACTGAATATGACTAATAGAATATTAGAATAATAATCCACAGTTAATTTTTTTTTAATTCGATATTTACATGTTAGCCACATTATAAGATACACTGCTAGGTATGCGACTAAGTAGATCGTATCTAATAAGATACATTGCATGTTACTCAAAAAAATTTACTGTATCCTACAAGATACATCCCTAGATTTTTACTAATTGAATTTATTATCTAGAAAGATATACTGCTAAGACCCAATTGTTTGCATAATTATAATTTGCACCATTACAACTTATAGCGACGAATAAGGTAAAAATGTTTACTTGCAGAATGATTAAAGGATTATTCACGTTACACCGTGCCGAGACCGGGCCGTGTCCGTGCCGCATCGTTGTCAGCGTGCGCCGACCGGGTCAGCCATTCATGCTACACCGGGCTGTTATTTGAGTACAGAGTACGTGTCGGTAACGAATTTTGTCAAGCGTCCATCTTTTTTTTTAAAGAAGGTATATTTTTCGCCGTTTTTCACTTGCGTGATATAATACGACTTGTGTTTTGATATGCAATTTTCGCAATTTAAATTGGCAGCTATCGCAATTGCCATTGATGACCAAGTATTGGAATCCCAAATTGCAACTTCAAAAAGAAAATGGGGTGTGCATCCAGCCTGGAGAAAACGAGAATTGGAAGGAGAGTTTGCAACGCTCTACAAGGAATTGATAGATGATGAGAGCAAATTTTATGGATATTTTAGAATGACCAAAGAATGTTTCACTATTTTACTTCAAAAAGTAGAACCTGACTTAACAAGAAAAAATTCAAGATTTCAGCCTATATCTCCCACTGAACGTTTGGCAGTCTGTCTCAGGTAGATAATAAATTTTAAAATTATAAAAAAAAAATTAAGTTAACAACTATCAATGTTAATATTTATGTTTATTATTTATGTTAATTTACATTTAGTTAAACTGTGAAAAATAACCGGGCATACTAATATCTAAGACAGTGGTTGATGTCGAAGGAGTCGGTTCCCGAGTCGTCTGGTCAGAAGGAGTCGGTGTTGGAGGTGTTTGAATTGGAAGCGGTGAATACACTGGCGTTGAATTATAAGATAACGATTGTCCACTCATCGAGGATGTAGAAGGCTCTGCAGATTGCAACTGTTCCCACTCCAAATCCTGAACCACTGCAAAAATCTTTCCTTTTGCAACATGCTGATAGTAGGGAGAAAACTTTTTTATCGTGGCTGCTAGACCGTTGAAAAAAGCATCAATTGGATTAATGTCTTGATTGGGAATTTCATTGTTTTTTAGTATATATTCCATTAAGGTATTGGACGCATATGGCTGGGGCTGATGATTTGGAACTGAACGACGGTTGCGTTTATTGAAACGAGCAGTTTGTGCAGTTGACTGAAGAGTTGTCTTAGGATCAGTTAATGGAGTCGAGTTAGGTTGCAAAATGACTGATGGTTCTTGCTCTTGCTGCCTTTGGTCCACATTAGCAATTTCTTCTTCATGAACCGTAGTAGCTTGTGTGGATTGCATTGGTTCTGTTTCGTCTTGCGTCAGTTCGTTCTCCGATTCGATATTTTTTATCGTTTGTCGCTCCTGTACGTGAGGCAGTAGGAAACTTAAAATTTCTTCATATTTATATTTTTTTATAAACGCAGCACCCTGACCACTTTTAGATTTACGTTTATTCAAATACTTTTTGTACTGATCTCGTATGTTTCCCCATCTTTTCTTACAGGCATCATCTATAATAGAAGGAAATAAAAAACATTAAACATTATTGTGAATGTATTGATATAGAAAATAAAGGATCACCCTGTATATATATATAGTTGAATAAATAAACTATATTGATGAATATCTTACTTGAAAATATTGTACTTATCATGTTGTAAAATAAGAATTATACTGATAAATTAATAATTAAAATCAGAAATTTATTTAATTGGTTGAATTTGGAAAGTATATTTGCCCAAATAACCTAATAGGAAACTAATAATGATCAGTGTATTGATAATATTTAAATTATGAATTTTAATAAAGATTCTAAATAAAGCGAGTAATTAATTTGTATAAGAAATCAATTTAGACTTTCACAATACACTCTGTATATATTTTATAATTATGACTTACCTTATTAAAATTGAAAGAAATGAAACACTTTTATCTTCAATTCCAATTGATTTATTTTTAAAGAAAAATGAAAAATAACAATTTGCTAGTAATACAATGGTATCTCATAATCCACTAAATTTCTTTAATACAATTTTCTTGAAAAGCTCAACATCTTAGACTAGTTTTCATCCAAACGTAGAACCTGAAATTGGAAAAATATATTAATATGGTTATTAAGTTTGTAACACTTTGTAAACAAAATTTCTAAAATGCAAAGCAGGTGAACGAACATTTATTTTGACATATTTAAACTAACTAGAAATTAGAAATGCCAACATGACTCAGAACTAAGAATTGTAATTTAGAAAAAGAAAATCTATAACAAAATTATATTTGGAAATTTCTTAACTGAATGACAGAATGTATAATTAAAGTTTAATAATATTCCTTTGAAATTATTTAAAGAAATATTCAGAATTTTCATGGAAATTAGAAGGAATCCATTTCATTGGTCATTGTAAAACCAAGGATTATATTTATTAATTGATACAAAAGCTTTGTTAAAAAAAAAACAAAAAGTGGTAGATCCTTAGTAACGAAATATTGAAAAGACTGATAAGAGACAGTTACTGTTTTTTAACAAAAATTGGTTGAAATTATTAAGAAATTTGCATATAGTATTTTTAAAAGTGTATACAAACCTAGCAATATGTTTTTTGGACAAAAACATAACATTTAGATGCCTCCAGTATTTGAAACATGGTGAAATTAAGTTTTCCGAAATCCTACATTGTTTGTATGGTAAGAATTTGGTTGTTTCCCAGCAACGGTCTCAATTTGACGAAGACCCATTGAAGGTGGAACTTTATGCATATCCTTTTGTAAGGAATTTCGCCGACCGACGACCTGAAAATAATATTTGGATTGGTTTTTCGATATTTACGGTTTACGAACAGTAAAGGTATTCCTATAAATTCATTTACAATAAAACATATTTACCTGTGTTTCAATTTTGTGTCTAGTTAAGTATATTATTCTTTTTAATCCACTGATTCTAACCTTACATTTCATTTGGGTAAATGACAATACGAATATACAAACAAAATGTACTAGTTACACTCGGTAGAAATTTGATAAACGATATTTACATAGTTTCTCATCAATAGAATACATGTGTTGAATGAATGAAATCTTCACTAATATTAGATTGATCATTTTGTAATGATTAATGTTTTTGATACTGAATTTGACATGCTTTATAATTAAACTATTACGTTTCTCCATTGAAAATTTTGAATATTTATTTCACTTTAATTTCTATAAGTTGGTAATACTGGAACAACTGGCGAACATTAACCGAATTTCCAGGTCTGTCTTAAACAAATTGATGATATCTGGAATTTGAAAATACAAAAATTAGGCATTAAAAGTAAAAAAAAAAAGGAATTTAGTGAATTTAGTTTTAAAGCTTGCTATAAAGGATTTGGCGTCATCATTTATCATATTAAATATCCTAAATTGCGGACCACGAACCCTGAGAAAATTATTATAGTAAAAAAAAGTAATTATATAAAATTAAAAATAAATAATTTGATTGAAGGGCAAGTAATCTTAAAATTGAATCAAATAAAAAAAAACAAATTATTTCAGATTTTTAGCTATTACAATAATGTGTTTAGTTATAGAAATATTTCTTATTTGCAGGTTCTTGGCGACTGGGGATTCATTCAAAACTATTTCGTATAGTTTTCGATTGGGCCATTCAACTGTGAGTGAAATTGTACACAGCACCTGTCGCTCTATCGTCAAAAGATTAATGAAAGAGTTTATACCTCAACCGTCTGAAAAAAGATGGGAACAAATTGCACAAGATTTTGAAAGGCTTTGGAGTTTCCCGAATTGTATTGGCGCATTAGATGGCAAACATGTTGTTATCGAGGCCCCTGCCAGAAGTGGCTCTGTATATCATAATTATAAACACACGTTTTCAATTGTGTTGTTAGCGTTAGTGGACGCGTGTTACAAATTTATTGCAGTTGAAGTTGGCTCTTATGGGTGAAACAGTGATGGTGGCATTTTCGCAAGTTTTAACCTAGGAAAGCGTCTAGAAAACGGCACGTTTAATATACCCACAGGCCGAAATTTACCCAACTCCATGACGTTTGCACCATTTGTAATAGTTGGCGACGAAGCTTTTCCTCTGAAATCATACTTAATGCGGCCGTATCCAGGACATCACTCAACACATATTATATCAAGTTCTTGCAAAAATATGCATATGCACCATTAGTGACTCTTAAATGGGGTTCGATAAAGGGCAACAAGCATGTCTGCTAAATCAAAGCCACCCATATGTGCATTATAATGTTTATAATTCCATATTCTTT